GACCTTCATGATCCTGGCGTCGGGGTGCGCGAGGAGGCGGGAGCTGGGCGTGCAAGAGGAGACCTCCGCGCGGCACAGACGGTTGTAGAAGGCACGCTCCGCACCCCGCGGCCGGATCATTATAAAGACGCCGCGTCCCCGCCCCGAGGGGCGGGCCCAGACGTTCAAAAGCAGCCAATGAGAGGCCTGGAGGTGTGGCCTCGAGCGCCTCTGGGCCCCGCCTCCCGCTCTACTATTGTACCCTGGAGGGCGTGGAAAGGGGACCCCGAATCTCCAGGAGAGAGTGGGAAGGCACGGGACAGGGCGGCTAACTGGGAACCTCGGGGAGGAGGCAAGGAGGCTAAATCGATATTGCCGATAACAAAGAGACCAAGAACCCGTTTTCCCGGGTTCGTTTTCTCACCTCTCCAGCTCCATTTTACAGATGAGAGAAACTGAGCCCGGATGAAGAAGCGGCTGGCTCTGGGTCGCCCAGAGAGCCTGGGCTTCTGGATTCTGTTGGAAGACGACTTCTGGGACCCTGATCTCGCGAACATTTGGTCCGAAATTAAAGCGGGCCCTCCTTTCACACTCTGAACTGGGGCTCGTCTCTCTTTCCCAATTGCCAGGGAGTGTTAATGCCCTGGGACCAGGGGGACTTACCCAGGCCCCTCGGGGTGGAGCACTTAATTTGGGAAAGTCTTCCCCTAGGACTGGGGGGTGGGCCTCTGGGACCTGAACTGGATAGATGGCTCCCAGAGTGGGGCTGCATCTCCTCATTCTACTCTGAATTTGCAGCTCCTTGCAAAAATTCCCTAAATCTGCATCAACTAGTGATTTTTAAATTTTTCTCCCTTTTTTTCGGAGGCTTCCCCTCTAAAAAGATTTCGGATCAGGTTCTCCCACAGCGCGGCAGCTGCAGAGCTCGAGTCCCCCTCTCCTCCCACCCGCCCCCCGCCGGCCTTCCCGGGCTGGTCTGTGTCAGCGTCTGAACAAGAGGCTCAGACCGTTAGACGCCAGGCCCGTGACGTCACCCATTCATAAAACCTGGACGGGCTGTCAGGCTGGCGCCGCGCGGGCGGTCGCCATGGAGACGGCAAACCCGGCTCCCGGCGCTACTCGGGGCCCCGCCAGTCACCTGCGGACCTCCGGCAGGAGGCCTGGGAATGTGCTCCTCACGGGCGCGGTCGCCGGGCAAGGGTCACCTTACCTCCCCGCCCCACACCTGGAATCTCCCCACCGGGCCCACGGCTTGGGCCGCTTGGGAGGTTTCCTCACCGCCTCCTCCCCATCTCCAGTTCCCCTTACTGCCTGGGGAAAGGGGCCCGAGTTCCGATTCCAGCTCTGCTGCTGGGTGAATTTAGTTGTGTCTCAAGCCCTCTGAGCCATACTATCTGCCTGGTATGTTGATGATAATCACACAAGTGACGATTTATTGCGTTTTTACTTCCTGCCAGGCAGGCACTGTGTGAAGAGTTTGCCTGTATCATCTTCTGGAATCCTTGCTACAATTCCAAAGAGAGGAGCTGTTTGGTTTCTTTATACAAAGGAGGAAACTGAGGCTCAACAAGCCTCCCAGGAGCCACACTGTTGTAATGGCTGCATTGTTAATAACAAGGGCACTTCATTGTAATGCAGCCCCGTCCAGTTTACCTCCAGAACCCTAGATGGACCAGAGCTGTGGAAACCGCATAGCCACCCGAAGTGTGAGGGGACTAAAATTCTGCGCTCACACAGGAGGGGGTGATATTACCCCCCCTACACACACACACACACACACACACACACACACACAACAATTAATTCACTGGGTGTCAGGTTTCCTTTTTCTACAGAAGTTTGCAGAAGGGGGTCAATAAACCAGCCCACTGCATCCACATGAGGAAACCAGGAAAACTGATCAGGGAGACTAGCTTCAAAGGAGAGACATCATCAATTAATTAGCTGGACTCCCCGTCCTCTTATGACACCCCGCAAGCTCTCCAAACTCCCTAGGCTTGTTTTGCAATCCTCTCATGATTGGAGAGAACATTTTGCTGTGCAGAAGAATTGCTAAAGAATTGGAAGGACAATGACCAGCGGGAGAGGAAATTAGAATATTAATTTACTATTGAGTGATTATTAATTGACCTAGCAATTCTTTTTCCTGGTATCAATTCCAGACACACACACACACACACACACACACACACACAGGCACAAAGATGTCTGCTCAGCCCTGGCTGGTGTGGCTCAGTTGGTTGGGCATCATCTGTGCACCAGGAGGTTGCCGGTTGGATTCTGGGTCAAGGGCATGTGCCAGGGTTGTGGACTCGATCCCTAATAGGGCGTGTGCTGGAGGCAGCCGATCCATGTTGCACTCTCACATTCATGCTTCTCTCTCTCTCTCTCTCTCTCTCTAAAAATCAGTAAACTATTGTTTTTTTAAAAAGAATGAGACATTCCTTTTTAAAAAATGTCTTCCCAAAGATGTTCATTGAGGTGCTATTTACAAGAGGGGAAGTTAAAATAACCTAAATATCCAGCAACAGTGGTATTATGTAAGGATGAATGGAACATCAGTGCTGTGCACTGGCCCTGCGGCAGGGGAAGTTTGGTTTTCAGAGATATCTAGATGCTGTTGGTAGAGGAAGCAAGAGTTAGACTGGGGGTTAAGGTAGGACCTCTTGTAAGAAAGCAAACATACTGCGCCTAAGTACATGTGTATCTGGAAATGAATTTAAAATGAGAGGAAATTATGCTGCGGAAAATTTCAAACACAATACTGTGTGCTTTCTCTCAGATGAAGTTCTAAAACTCCCAACTAATGTCCGATGAAAGGAATCAGAATGGGGGCTGCCTCTGGGAGTGGAGGGTGGGAGTTGCCAGGCAAGGGGTGTGAGGGAATGTTCTGGAGTGATGGGAATGTTCCCTGTCATGCTGAGGTGTGCATGACACAGTGTAAGAGTTAGTCAAAACACATTGAATTATATAGTTTTGTGCATTTCACTGTATTTAAATAGCACCTCAATAAAAAATATTAGAAAGAGAAAAAAAGGATAAATACCAAATTACTACTGTTACCACTGTGAAGAGGAGGGGAAGGAGAACAATGTGAAATTAGGATTTCACTTTTATCTTCACATAGATATTTGATTTTTTTTCCCCATTAAGCAGTCTTATTGAAGTACTAGAGGCCCAGTGCATGAAATTGTGCACAGGGTGGGGGAAGGGGCCCGGCTGAGGGCCCCCTCTCGCAGTCGGACATCCCTCTTGCAATCTGGGCCAGCCGGCTCCTAACCACTCACCTGCCTGCCTGCTTGATCACCCCTAACCACTCGCTTGCCTGCCTGATTGCCCCTAACTGCTCACCTGCCTGCCTGATTGCCCGTAACTGCCTCTGCCTTGGCCCCCGACATGGCAGCTTCGTTGGGGAGGACGTCCGGAATGATGTCTGAAGGGTCATTTGGCTGTCTGGTCTAATTAGCATATTATTCTTTTATTATTATAGATAATTGACATACAAAGTGTATATATTTGAAGTGTATGACTTCATAAGTTTCTCTCTCTCTCTCTCTCTCTCTCACTCATGAATCATTGCCACAATCAAGACAATTATCATATACTAAATCAACCCTAGACGTTTTCTTTTGCCCTTTGTATTCCCTCCCCACTCTTCCACCCAGTGTCCAGGTAACTGGTTATCTGTTTTATTCTATAGTTTGCATGTTCTAGAATTTTATATAAATGAAATACAGTATATATTCACAGTATATACATACATAATGTATATACAGTGCGTACTATCTATTGTAGCTTTCTCAGCCTACTTTTTTTTTCTTAACGCAGAATAATTATTTTGAGATTCGTTCATGCTCATTCATTTTTGTTGCTTAGTAGTAGTGTATGGATATACCACAGTTTGCTTATCCATTTACATCTAGGTTGTTTGTAGTTTTTGGTTAGTACAAATGAAGCTGCTTTGAACAGTTGTATACATGTGTTTATATGAATCTGTGCTTTCAATTCTGTTAGGCAAACAGTTGTGGAATGATTGGGTCACCCAGTAGGTATTTACTTAATTTAATAGGAAACTATTCAAATGTCTTCCCAAAAGGTGTATCGGCAGTGTGGAGAGCCCAGGTCCCCCACGTCCTCTCTAACCTCTCTAACGGCTGATGTGGTCAGTCGTTTTCAGCAATTCTAATAGATGTGTGTACTATCTCGCTGTGGTTTTAATTTGTATTTTTTTTTAATTTTTATTTTTATTGACTTTTAGAGAGAGGAAGGGAGAGGGAGACAGAGTGAAACATTGATTGGCTGCCTCCTGCACGCCCCCTACTGGGGACTGAGCCTGCAACCTGGGCATGTGCCCTGACTAGGAACTGATCTGGTAGCCTTTCTTTCTTTCTTTCTTTCTTTTATCTTTAATTTCTTTATCGGTTAAGGTATTACAAATGTGTCCTCATCCCCCCATTAACCCCTAACTTCCCCCTCCCCCCACTCATGCTCTCATCCCCCTGTTGTCCATGTCCATTGGTTTGGCTTATATGCATGCATGCAAGTCCTTTGATTGATCTCTTCCCCTTCCCCCCACCCTCCCCTACTTTCCCTCTGGGGATTGATAGTCTGATCGCTGTTTCTCTGTCTGTCTGGTAGCCTTTCAGTGCATGGGATGAAGCCCAGGCAATTGAGCCACACTGGCCAAGGCTTTAATTTGTATTTTCCAAGTGACTAAAAATGTTGATCATCTTTGTATGTGCTTATATGTCATCCATATATCTTCTCTGGCAAAGTGTCATTCATTCTTTGCTCATTAAAAAATTAGTTTTAGATCATTGTAGATTCACATGAAGTCGTGAGAAATAATAGAGAAACCCCTTATATCCTTTACCCACTTTCCCTAATGGAAGCATCTTGCATAAATATAGCACAATATTACAAGAAGATTTCACATGAGTTTCAGATTTCACCTGATTGACATGCTTCCCTTTGTACGTGTAGTTAGTTCTCGGCAGTTTTATCGCGTGCAGATCCCTGTGAGCACCACCAGAGTGAAGACACAGAACAGCTCCACACAAGGATCCCTCGGCTACCCTTTCATCTTTTGTCCATTTCTGTTCACTTGGTTTTTGTCTTCTTATTATTGAGTTTTGAGAGTT